GGAGATTATTTCATTAATTGTCTATTCCATGACTTTCTTAGAGTATTGGTCTATAAATTATATTATAAACCTTCTTTATATAATATTTAGATAAATAAATATAATAATAAAATTTTATTTTTCGCATACTAAATCACTGGGTTAATGTTCTATAATAAACGTGTATACTAAAATATGTATGTACTTACACTAAAAGTACAATAAAAAAAAGTTTAAATAAATAATTTTTTTTTTTTTTTGTGTTTATATCTACATCTTAAAAAAAAATATCATATATATTTTTTTTTTTTTGAATATCATGTTCGAATTACAATGGATTATATGTTTTTTTTAAGTTAAGATCTTATGTTAAGGAGATTACATTTTGGATTTCCATTTAAATTAAAAAAAAATTAACTAACAAATAGTATTTGATTTTGGTTAATAAAAATAAAATTTTTAAATTAAAATTTTAATTAAATTGAAATTAAATTAAGTATAGCTTACTTTACATGTTTTTCGTTAATTTTCTTGTTCAAAATTAGCAAAGTTATTGAAGAGTCAATAAATAAATCAAGTATATGACAAATGGATTAATAAATAATATGTACAGTTATCTCTAATAATTTAATTAATTGAAATTTAGATTTAATGATATAAACTTGTAAGCTATATTTATATATCCTCCTTCATTGAGAATTTTATTCTTCTTAAGAGACATTTATTTACTTTAATGAAAATCCTATATTTTCATTAACAATTTAAATCCTCCTTAATTATCGATTTTTAATTACATATATTTTTTTATAATGTTATGAGTAATATATATCCATTCAATAGCATTATTCTCAAATTAACCAACATAAATAACAAAATATATTAAATAAATGCAACAAAATAGAAAAATTTTATTTTTGTTAATATAAAATTTACTTACATAAATTTAAAATAAAATATACTACAAGAAACATTTTTTATCAATAATTTTTCCCTCTATTTTTCGATAATTTTAATCATTTCAAATAAAAAAAATATATTTTATATATTTTAAAAATTTATAAATAAAAAAAAAATAAAATCAACAATTAATTTTTTTTTCTTATCTAGCTCTTGTATGGCTAACTATTTGTTTTCCAGATAGATATTACTTTTTATTCTTAAAAAGGTTAATAATATATTTTATTAATCACTACATTATTAAAGTATTCTCCTAGACATTTCTCGTACGCGTCTAACTTTATATCTTCTATTATAGACCCATAGATTTAAAAAGATAAAAAATGCTTTCACATACAAACTGCAATCTTATCTAGTTTTTATGTGCCATCGTGTGAAAAGTTTTTGTATTCCACTAGCTTTATTTATTCTATTATTGAATTGTTAATTAACTATTCAAAGACTTTGATGTATTATTTAGTAAAAAAATGAATATAAAATATTTGTAGTGGATTAGACTACTTCTGTTTATTTTAAAAAAAATTATTGCTATATATTAGAAAACTTTATATAATAAAACACGATGAAATAAATAGTTAATTTTGTTTAACATTTCTAATTATTAAATAAAATATGTTAAAGTCTATAATATTCGTAACGGAGTATTCGTTTTATAGGAGTCATCTGTTAAATTTAATAAAAATTTCTTTCAATTTTAATTAAAACCTAAATTTTTATATTAAAAACCTTTAATTATTTCTAAAATAAACTTTTTATACAAAGTAATAAATTTCCATTATAAAATAATAGCATATATAAAAATTCTTATATTAAAAATAAAAAGCAAAAACTCTTCTTTCTCAAAGAAAAAAAAAAAATATATCTCTTTTTTTTTGAAATTGAATAAAATATAAATAACGAAAACAATGTTACAAAACAAATAAGAAGATAAAATTTTTTTTTTAGTTATGTGAATTAATATGTCTAATTATTTTTTTTAAAACTAGCATTTTAAAATGTTTTCCTAAACATCAATGTGTAAACCTAATTTTTTATTTTATTTATAATTTATTAACTATTATATTGTAAAAGACTAATGATATCCTATATATACTAACTATATACTATAAATTTATGTATAGAAAAATGTTAATAATATAGTTTTGTTTATTAAGGCCTTTTATATAATATATCCATGTTAAAATTATGCTTTACGAACAGTTTAATTTACAGATATATGTTCTTATAATATAATCATATTCATTCAATTTTTCTTCTATATAATTGTAGGTTATACATGATATCTCGATGTAATATTCTTTTTTTGGAAACCATAATTTTATTAAGTCTTTGAATATTTACTTCCTTTATATTACTCAAAAATTTAAAGAGTTCATTTGTTGAAATATTAATTTTATCGATTAATGATGAAGTTTTAGTGATTCAATTTTCTCAATCTTTTTCATTTTTTTGATTTTTTTTCTTTTCTTCATATAAGGGCATATTCCCATTTCTGAGACTACCACAATTTTCAATCATATAGCTAAACATAATTTCAAAATAATTTTTCTTCTTTTTTTTTTTTTTCAAGTTTCTTATTAATTTCTTATAATGTACATTTTATAGAAGTGTAAGATATATAAACTTCATATATACATAGTATTGATAAGCTGATAATAAATAATTAAAAAAAATAAAATGCTATTGGAGTTTTCATTGTAATTTAAATAAAAACAAATAAAAGAAAAAGTAGTCTTTTCTTATATTATATATTTTAAAAATCATTGACTGAATATATGCATAACAATAAAAATCCTTTTTATTATAGAGATAAAAATTTTTAAACAATAATTTTTATATTTTAATGTTTAAGAATTATTTGACTCAATTTAGAAATATTTTTTAACTTTCATAAAAAAAATTATAAAAAAATAATTTCAAATTTATTTAATTAAATAGTAATTTAAATTTTTACTATTTAAAAACTATTTTAATTTTTCTAATAAAAATATTGAAAAAAAAAGGCACGATTTTTATAAACCCTTAGTTATTAGTTTTTTTATTATAATTAAATTTATGGAGAATTAAATATTTCATAGAATAAATTACATTTAAAAAAAAGGAATTCATGATATATTACAAAAATGAGATGTGCATAAAATTCTACTTTCTAATTATAATGCGTTTAATAACTCAATTATTTATTTTGCATCTTTATTTATTCATTAATATTGCAATAAAGAAAAAGGCGCTCTTTTAAATTTATAAAAAAAGCTTTCAGTTTACTAAAAGAGTTTTATATATTCTTTCCATAAAGATAAAAATTAAAAAATACAATTATTAGTTACAATCAACTTTTATCATATTACAAACAGCATATCTTAATTTTTTTTTTTATATGAAAATTTAATGCTCATTTTTTTCTTTGTGATAAAAGATAAAAAAATAGTCTTAAAATGATGCAACACTTTTTTTCCTTTTGTGAAAAAGGAAAATCTATATATATAAAAGCATTTTAAATAATTACATGTAAATATCTTATTAAGGAAATTGATAAAATTATCATATTGATAATTACATATTATACAAAATGATTATTTTTATTTATATTTTTTTTTTTTTTTAAGGTGCTTTTTATTTATAAGGAATATAACTGTGAGCTACAAATATTTATCTTAGTATTCATTATTATAATACATTTTACTAGTTCAAATATTATAATTTAAATTTCACAATCACTATTTTCATTTTTCAGCTATTCTAATTTTTTATAAATCCGTTACATATTTGAATAGATACAATTTTATTTCAATTCTTGATTTTTATAATTTAGAATTACTATATATAAATATCTATTTTGTCATATTCAAACTTATAACATAATAATTCTTATATTTTAATTAAAATAAAATTTTTATTATCTATTTTAAAATAAAAATAAAATATTTATTATTTACAGAATTTTTAATTAACACATTTGTATAATTCTAATATTATATTCACAATTATTAAATAAATATAATTATTCGCATCCAGTAATACATTAATATATTTTCGTTTTTTCCTATTTTTATATTTAATAATCTTTAATTTTCATTTTAATAACCATTTTATTATCGTCAATATTAAATTTTACATTTTCATTTTTAAAAAATTTTTTATTATTTTTACTTAACAATTATATTTTTTTTTACCTAAATATTTTCATAAATGATATTTATAAATGTTGTTTAAAAATC